CGGACCGCTCGCGTGGTGAGTGCGCCACTTGTCACTACACCACTTCCGCCCCACCGCCATTGATGCTGAGGCAAATGTATAATATTACTCGACTACCATTGATGATTTATTGCACTAATAACAATACATACACAAAAGCGTACAACAACGTACGTACAAATATTCGTCGCCAGGACGATGTGGATGGATCTAAAAGTGTTTCAGTAAAAGCTGTTCCACTTTGTGGAAGAGAGCTCACAAGGTCACTCATACCTGATATCTTCCTCTTATGTTATTGGGGTCTCTTGTATTGAGATTGATTCACGTCATCGGCGGCCTTCTCAAACATCCGTCCCAACTGTTCATTCATTGGTCCTAAAATTGTACAAGTGAGTTAGCAGCGACAGAAATCTTCGAAACAGCCCATTTCCACTTGACAACCTTTATCCGTCCCCGGTAAATAATGGAAGGCTTGATTCCTCTCTGTGGAGTATGAATATTGTACCGTAGCAATGGTCCGTACTTGACCTACAGTTAGAGCGGTATAAGAAAAGGTACTCTTATTTGTACGGGTCGATTTGAACTGAACTCGCCGGAACGAATAGCTACCCTGATATTTCTATGCTCTACGAGGATCGATGCTGTTTTTGAGCGCTACGCATTCGATCTTCATGGAGAATCGAGTGAACACGCGTTAGGGGAACCTATTGTGCGCAGCTTCTCCAACGCCAAACTTCAAGGTTGGCGTTGATAAAGTAAGGATTTGGGCTCATATGACTTTGGAGTAATTATTTAATGATGACCGAATGAACCAGCTTCTACATAGTGGTGCAGAGAAGAGCTAGAAACTTTTTATTAGACTCTAAGGAGGCGGGGATGGTGAAAGGGGTTTCAGAATGGGTGGGTCACCGATTAGGTAATCAAAAATTGGATATTCGTAGCATCCGGGGCGTTTCCCAGGTTCGGGGCGGTACACATGGCCCTCTCCATGGCTCGTTGTGTGACTGTGGGTTTCTTCTCTTCAGAGAGAATGTGATATCCATGTCTGGTACGCTAAGGGAAGCGGGGGGGGGGAAGAAGGTCCAGAGGCAGAGCCAGACCCGATAAGTTGACCCTCTCGTAAAAGTTGTACGGCCAACTTTGACGCAGAAGAGCCGAAGCAGAGCGGCTTCGAGGATGTGCGACCTACATTTCTGACGTGCCCGGGACGGCAAAAAGAAGCGCTAAAAGTCGTCGAAGCTCATATCTCTAGCGCTTTAGGTATCCTCAACCCTAGGGACGATGAGCAAAATGAAGTAGATTCCCCAACCCCATTTTTACCCAGGATGTATTGGTACTGAACTACAACGACTGTGAATGCAGTCGCCTCTGTTTTGACTCAAGCAGACAAATATGAAATCAATTAGCGGGTCCCGGAAAGACAGAGTTTGGCGAATTTCAAAAATCGGGCCATACTCCGCTAACAGCTGCTCATTTTGTCAGCGTTAGCCTCCTCCATGGACTGCATTCAAATAGCCTACAAACTTCAATGGAAGAGTCCCAAAGGAATTGATCATACCGATACTGCTATTTATTTATTTCTGTCATCAACTTCGTACCACATGTTAATTTTTACAATTCTGACCATTTCCGATAATGGTTAAAAACAGTAGAACTCATTTTTGCAATGGTTCTCCTCTCCTCAGACATACCTAAATTCGCCTCAGCCAGAGAATTCTCTGCGCTCTGCTTTATGGCGCGAAGTCCACGATCGACTCCTGAATGGCTGGAATTTCCTTACTCGAACTCTTGGTTAGACTTTTAAGAGATCTCGGTTAAGAAGATCCAATGGTGAAAAAATAGAACAGGGTTCGAAGTTAGGAAATTCCAAGCCACCATCCGAAAAGTCAGTTTAGGGGACACTTCCAAGCTCACCTGTCCTGAGTTGCTGCCAGGTGTTCCTTAGCTGATTTCCCATTAGCCGGACGTCCTGGTCAAGACCAGTCTCGTCCAATGACGCCTTGAACTTGGCAACGACGTCTTTGATTGCAGCCAAAAGTTCAGCGTTCGGCTAGAAATAGTTCATTATTGCACGCTTTCCAATAATATTCAAATTAGTTCTATTAATAATTCTAGGTGTTACAACTACTTTTCTAATTGGCTGTTAGCAGGGATAAGTCATTAGGCGGACAGGTTACTGATATGTGTCGACAGGGCGTGGAACGGGAGATTGCCACTATCGCTTTGGTACTGCGTTTATACTCGGCGAATAGTACGAACTGCACCGCTATTATACTTTGCGACCGCACACCTGCATCGGGGCGAATCCACCTACATTCTCGTGCCGGGTATCCGTCGCGCAGTGACACAGACGCAGATGTGTTGGCGGACGAGCCGCAGCGTGTACTGCAGCGATTTAGCGTCAAGTTGGATAGAATGTACTACAGTACGTCCCACATCACACAGCACGCGCTGCGACTCGTCCGCTGACCGTCTGCGTCTTTGCCTTCTCGCCGCGCGACGGGCCTCTTGTTGGGTATCCATTTGCTCTATACTTCGACAGAACACTTGTAGCCTACCCTCTCGTTCGCCTAGCAGAGCTGTGGTGAGCAGATATCGGCAGTTTGGCTTTTTATGGAAGCAGACTGAGGGAACCTTGTCGCGCAGCATTTTCTTTGAGCTGAGCAGCATAGTGAGCTAGGTGCCAAAACTTCGAACCGCGGATCCGTGCTCCCGAAATTCACGGTTTGTGTTATGAGCGCTCATGTCGTTGGGGGGGGGGACATTCAAGATAGTGAGCCAATTGCTGTGCTTGGGACTAAGCCTTAGGCAGGGGAAGGGATTCTGGGGTAGGATGTGAGCAATGTATGTGTTCTCCCTGGCGTTTCTCCCCTCTCCTGGGCTTAGTCCAAGTGTCACTTATTAGTGTACTTACCGGCTCTGTTGTCCCCACCCACCATCCCCCAAGGGCATGAGCGCCAGACGTACAGCCGCCCATTTTCCTGCTCTTGTCTATGTTTTTTTATGCCAAAACCGAAACGTGATCTAAAACCAAGTGCACTAACCTCACTGCTGCGGCATGCTGCGTCGGTACCTCATATCCTATCTTTATCCGTGTTGATGCAAACCCTTCCCTCCCCTACCTCAGCGCTGCTTCACAAGGAACTGCCACAAGTATTGTCATCCTCCACTCTTTGAGCGCTTAGTGAGTAGTAACAGGCCTAATATTGAAACGGTAGGGATGCAATGGGCGTGGGAAGGATAACATGGACTGCGGGAGATGCGCCCCGCTTGGGCGAGAAGGAGATTGCTTCAGGATGGCTTTTGTGCTCTCTGCGCCGACGTCACTGTACCACACTGGAAAATGATTTGGTAAGGAGTGTTTCATGATTTTTTTAAAAAAGAGCCCTCATCACAACTGGTTGTCAGGGAGTTACCAGAGGGCTCAAAAATTGCGCAGAGGTTCGAACATACAAGGTGCCCCGTTCTGGCTGTATGCCGAAATGCAAAGAAAGCCGCGTTTAGTTCAATTGCGTTCCCTCCTTTCTAATCCGAATGCAACGAAAAATCACGGTCAGAAAACGTCTTGTCTAGAAGCTTGGAGAGGGATGAGATAGAATAAAACAGAGAAGCTGAGAAGGGGTTACATGCTGGGGAGAAGCATTCATGCACAGGTCATACTTGCCCACCCAGAGATATTCCAAGAAGGAAACCAGCTTGGAAGAAGTAGAAGTGGTCGGTCCAGATTCAGTTGAAGACTTGCAACAAGAATTCTCCCAATTTGTCGTCGTTTCGACATTTCTGAAGGTGACCGGGTGTCTTAACAGTATTTCTAGGCCGGATATCTTTTTTAAAGTAACCTCGAGGAAACAGTTGATGCATCGATCGTCGTCAAATCAGAAGTGGTGGCTTTTCTGCCAGTCTTCGTTACTCGGTTTTTCGGCCCCAGCGTCCTCCATGTGTATGGTTGTCTCTCTCGGGTAACCGATTTTGATGATTTGACAGGAGGAACTGTCGTCACTTGTAGAAAAGGCACAATAGTAGAGTAGATGTTGATCAGCGATTTCGGCAGTATCTTCTTGATAATGCTAGAAGCTTCGCTCTCCTTCTCCTTCTCTAATTCCTTTTGTTTTCGTAGAAGTAGTTGGTGATAGCGCGCAAGAGAAG